TTCCCCGGTTCTTAAACGGACTTCCGGTCCTTGAGCGCAGCCGATTCTTGTGCAGGCTGTTAGCTGTAGGAGGTATTCTGTATAGACCTGTAAGTTCCGTATTGTGAAGTTGTTGTCTGTTCCGCTGAACACCAATTGTCCATCCAGGGTCAGATTATATTGGGTAATGACTCCATTTGGACGTCCGGGCTCGGTCCAATGCACTACAAGCTCTTTGGGACGTCGGACAGCGGTAGGGCCTGGGACATTCTCTGGAACTAGAAGGAATAGACAGTTTTTAAAGTTTTGGTTAAGTGAAAGAAAATGTTCGCCAAAAACTGCAAACAAGAATTTTTCGCGGTTTACTGGACATGGTTTAACACAAAACAGAAAAACAAAAAATACCTGATTCTTCAGTCGTGACGTTTTTAGCAGGCCCCACTGAACTTCCCCCGACCGTAGAGGCCTGAATTCTGATGTCATAAGTGGTATAGGGTTGAAGACCAGAGATGGTAGCGTTAAGTACACTAGTATCTGTGATGACTGTCTCAATTGCCGGCGTCCCAGAGGGGTTCACACGGTAGGATAGTATCCTATACTCTGTTATCACTCCATTGGGCCGCTCCGGTAGTGACCAGGTTACTATCACTGTTTCGCCACCGGGTAGAGGCACTAACTGAATAGGAGCCTGGAGACCACTTGGGGCTTTTGTAGAAACAAGGGAAGAAGTAAGTCAATTGGGTGTCGTAAGAAATCCGATGCAAAACTAAAATCACTCGCTATTTGGTAAATGGCGTTTTCCTGCACCTCAAGCAGTTTTCCTTTGTTTTAGATAGGCTCCTTTTGACCATGTGAACTACTTCGACCAAATAAAATAGACTTCCCAAATTGTGCAGTTTATTTGTGTCCGCTTGTCTGACTATTTAAGCAGTTGAAGAAATTGAGACAGCTAGTAAAGTTTGTGCAGTTGAACTGATTAAGTTATTTATGCATTTTCTCCCGTTGAACAATTTCAGCGAGTTACGCACTTTGTCGTTTAAGCTGGTTTGACCATTTATAAAGTAAAACCATTTGACCTACTTTGACTATTTTAACAATTTAAACCAATTCACAGTCAAACTTCACAAATCAAAGACTCTTGTTTCTTGTTTGTTTGATCCTTTCTCGTATTTCTTGATATGATGTACTTTAAGACTATAACCCACTTTCTGCTGCGCTGAGCAATTAAATAAGAGGAATATTACCTCAAGCTCGACGGATAGGATGCTTACTCGAGACAGTACACCTTCTTAAATCAAGCACAAGTAACCTCAAAGTTTTTCGAATAAAGTGCCTTAGGTTACAAGTACTTCAATTAACCTTGAAAATTTCGAATAACAATTCATCCGCTTACCTCCCTGACCACTACGTGTCGACATCCATGCGCTTTTAGCGGAACCTGAAGTTCCATCATGGTAACTTTCCACACGGTACAGGTAATCTGTTAGGAAAAGATAGATTACATGCCTATTTTTTTCACGAATAACAGTTTCTTTTCCCCTTAGTGTTTTTTCTCTCCTTCAACGGGAAAAAAGATGCAAAATTAATTAAAATAAAGTACACAACACTTTTGAAGTGTAATAGTGGAGGGGGGTTTAATTTTCTTCCATCTCCATTTTCCTGTTGGGATCATAACAACAATATTGATCAGCAACTGGCCTCAACGAAAAAGAAAATTAATTCTTCATTCATTTTATCAACATACCGGTGAAAACGTTCGCGGTTGAGTCATTAAATATCTCTGTCTTCCCAGAATACACCATAGAACTATTAAAGGGCAAACATGTTCCTATTTGACCGCTGGTCGCTACTGTGGACGCTGGGCGGCAGCCATCAAGGTCCGCATTATGCATGTCCGTTACTGCCTTTACGTAATCGATCTCTTTCGCCGCAGATTGAAAAATTATACAACCACCAAAAGACGACTCTACTGTCACTCCAGCCTGTCGGGCGATTGTCTCGGTCGAAGAACCCCACGGTACCCCTCCGATGAATATGCTGGATTGAATCTTTAGGTTAGTTATTCCAGTTCCAACTTCAGTCTTACCATCGAGGACGACAGTTAACTTGTTGTTGAAATTAGTACAAGTCATGTTGTGCCATTGTCCATCACAAATTTCACCGAAAGGCAGCTGAACTGTCACATTGTCTCGTACACTAGTCGTGACGTATTTCGTTTCAACTCGATTGTCAGAAAATTGAATAGAAAAAATGGTTGTTGATCCGTGCGCAAATAGAAGCATCCCTGATGACAGCTGAGTGCGGAACTTCAAGGTAAAGCTAAATATGTTATTTGTAAAAATGTCCGCTATATTTGAGTCCACAGCGACATAGCCACCGCCTCTGAGGAACAAGGCTCTTTTGTTATCTCTCTCTGGACATCCATTTCTCTGAGGCTCGACACTGACCGCTTCTAAAGCAGAAGTCCAATCAAGCTGCTTTGAAACAGAAGCAGCCTGTTCTGAAGTGACATCACGTATACAGCCGATGAAACTGATCTTTTCAATTTTGGAGTTTCCTGTGTCAGTTCGAAGAATTGTAAAGGAGGAAGGGAGACCCCCAATGTAAACCCCAGTGTTTGCCGATATCACGGTGGCGGCGCCCGGATTATCCTGACTGGCTTGGTAACCATCCACCGTAAGTGTCCCCCGGCGGCTGACACGTGACACCTTCAATAGATGCCACTCACCATCGTCGAAGCGGACTGGCTGGTTAATTGTGAAGGCAGCAGGGCCATCCTGACTATCAAATATCAACCATGGCTTTCCATCCTTTAGTTGAATTGCTAACATGTCAGTTTGTGAGCCATCAGAGGCCAGAAAGAGAAGCAAACCAGACGCATACTTGGTGCGAAACCAGAACTGGATGTCATTTCTCGCACCGGCTTGAACGAAGTCCGAAGGAAACTTGTAGAATCCAAGACCCGGAAAATGCACGCCTTCTGACACCACAGGGGGTGGGAAGTACAAGGCTGAGTAAGCTCGGCTCAGGTTGTAACTTGGCGGTAGAGGACCGTTAGGAATCTGGGGTTGAGGCCATCTGAGGTACACGGTTGATGAATCAACTGAGAGGACCGAGGGAGTTCCCTGTTCTTCGGGAGCTGTTAGACAGTAAGTCAGTTATAAAACTGTTAGTAACAAGATCATCCCTTAATTTCCGAGTTGGAGAAAGAGTAAAGTAATCAACGAGTTTGAAAAAGTAAATTTCTTTCCAACGTCAAGCTCAACCTCAAAAGTTTCTGAGATTACAGAAGTCTGTTTCTGACCTTACATTTAGTTTTACTTTATCCAGTACACTGAGGGCTGAAGCTGTATTCTCCTTTACTTTCGAAGGGGTTTACAGTACATCAAGGCTAAATTGTTCTAACCACTTAAGTTTGTCCTGGCTAAGTTCAGTTTTGGCTTACACTAAAAGTTTCCTTACCAAATTTTAACTGCGCCACAATACGGTAATTGGCACTCAAAATGTAGACTACATACCTGCTGCTAATGTCCGCGCAAGAGCTTGCGGACTATGCCCCGAGCATGCAAAACTGTTACAAGCTGTTACTGTAAATTTATACTGAGTGTACGGCTGCAGCCCGACGACCATGCCCTGTCGCTCAGATCCAGGCACCTCCACAGCCATCACGGCTGTTGAGTTAGAGGGAGGCTGGTACTTGTAAATGACGTAGCGAGTGATGACACCTTGGGGGGTCTGAGGAGGACTCCAGGAAACTATTACAGCACTACTGTTAAAGGCATTAGCACCAGTGTTCATGACATTTTCGCCGAGTGGAGCTAAATCCAAATTGAAAAGCAAAACAACGTCAATATTTTCATCGTCGTAGCGTGTTTAAATATCTCTATTCCCTCCAACACACTCAGGGGCTATGGAAACTCTTACATTTATGATACCTTCCCCTCTTGGAGCTACATTAATTGAAAACATGCCAATTTTTAAACGTTTATCTATAATTGAAAAAATATCCAAGCATGTAAATAATTCTTTGTGTATTTTCACAGCGTCTTAAGTGAGACAGCATGCTAGAAAGCGAAAAGAAGGTCAGTTGTTCCTATCAGAAAAAAGTTGTGCACGCAGTGGCCTGAGGTTGACCGCTCTGAAGTTGGGAAAGAGAGGTCTGGGTTGGACTGTGCAGTTAGCCAGTTCTCATTGTTTAATTGTGCTCTTGAGGAAGAAATATTATCGGTGAACTGGCTGAGAAGGTTTATTAGTATTCCACCCAAGATGAAAAGGAGTACTTATGGGTGTTTATCTTTCATATGAGTCTACTGGTCTCGTAGGCCACAGTTGTTTTACCAATCAAAGCCCGTTGTGCTTCAGTTCTTTCATAACACTCCATATCTGTTGTTTACCGATTCAAATAACTTACTTCCTTCGCCAGTCCTATGCTTTGTCCAATTACTATCTCGGTCTCCCTTGACTTGCGCAGTGAATGTTCGCACCCTGAACTCATAAACCTTGAATGGAACAAGTCCTGTCACGTTCGTCTCTCTAAAATTGATGGTAGTTGGGTCATGCGCAGGATTGCTGTTGAACTTCAAGACTCCGTCGCTTGTGTCTCCGTCTGCTCGCATGTAAAGCTCATAACGAAGTATTCTTCCGTTCGGCTCGGACGGCTCGTCCCATGCCACCCTCACTGCAGTGCCTCCCGGAAGTGACGTCACATTTGGTGCGGGCTGGAAATCTGGAAGTGTTGGCAGCGTCAGGATGGTTGTAACGTTACTACGAGCGCATCCACCATTGGTACAAGCCACCACTGAGAAATTGTAGACAGTGTAGGGTTTAAGATTCCCCAACTTACACATGAAAATAACACCTCGACAGTTTACAACTTCAACTGAACTTCGGCTATTGGTAGATATCAGACGATATTCGGTGATACGACCATTTGGCATACTGGGACGCTGCCATGAAGCAGTTGCATTCCTGGGCAGAATATTTGTGATAACAGGCGCGGACATGCCTCCTGGCGCGTCTTGGAAAGTGCGGTACACGTTTCCGTCGTCTAAACTTCTTGTCTGACCGGATTCGGTGAAGGTAATGATGTAATAATAGTAGACAGAGTCAGGAGTGAGACCAGTGTCATTGAATGTTTGGTTCAGTCCAGTGTAAGCCAGGGTATCATTTCTGTACAGCTCATAGCGCAGGATGATGCCGTTAGGATTGTCTGGTGGAGACCATGTTAACATTATTGCA